TGTGCTTACTTCCTTGCGTACGGATGACAGCTGCGTATGACTTAATCTATTTTCTTGTGTTTTCACTTCCAGATTCCAGAGACAGTTGTTAGCACTGTGTATCTGCCTCGAGGGTGCTTGGCCATTCTAACACAACGTGGTGCGATCATCCCCCTTGCGCGGAGTGAGGGTTGTCGACCCCGCACAACATGGTCTACTCGACCACCACTATTGTTACCACAAAAAAAAAAACAGAGGTAAGGAAAAAAACGGTAACCTGGTTGCCGAGTTCACGAAGTGAATTGGCTTGTTTTACAACGTCGTTGCCAAGCGACGAAAACCCAATCCCGATGGCAAACACCGGGGGGGGCGGCTTGTTTTACAACGTCGTTGCCAAGCGACGAAAACCCAACCCCGATGGCAAAAACCGGGGGGGGCGGCTTGTTTTACAACGTCGTTGCCAAGCGACGAAAACCCAACCCCGATGGCAAACACCGAGGGTGGCATATGGAGGGGCCATTTGGTGCCTTAGTAAGCTTCTTCTCCGTAGGTTAGGTGTAAAAATAGGGTCAGGTTGACCTTGACCACGCTTGATGATTGCCGTCGAATCGTCCCGTAACGGATCGGCCCCGGTGATCAAGCCCGGTCTACCTGAGCCTAGTGCTGTCCTGGCTAACCGGAGGTTCGTTGCCAAAAAATACTGACTCACTTATTGAGATACTTCACAATCCGCAGGATTTTGTACACTACGAATTGTTCGCTTTGGCGCCGAGCTCTGTCGTGCGCAGCATGTGGGGTTGTCTCGTCTGCAGGCGCCGTTCGGATAGGGCTGTGTTCACCCAAGTGCATCGGCGAGTAAAGCGATTTTGGGCACGACTTTTCGTGACGCACCCCGCTACGGCCAAGTCATACATCTCGACTAAAAAGAAAGGTTAGAAGAAATATACTGTTAAGTATGTACTTAAGGTTGTCTTCACATGACCAAACGTCACATGACCAAACGCAAAGGCCTCACTCGGTGCCTTCTAATGTTCGTACTGGTCCAACTGACGCGGACGCCTCCCGTGACCACAAGCCAACTACCCCCCAACGGGGTACACCTTTTTTTGAAATTCTAAAGACATCACAATGGACACAACAAAATTCCTCCAAGGCACGATCCGTTTTCTGCCCAAACAAAAAAGGACAACCAAACAAAAACTAACCCGGATACAGGCAATCGACCTCGGTCTAACAGGAAGAAACAACGAGGAAGGCAAATAAATAGAAAATGAAGAGAAAACCCAGGAAACAAACAGGAAGACATACAGGTCCCCTCCAACGCTCCGGCCCACAGGAACAACCACGAAATAATCCCGAGACAACATTACGGGGGTTCGCATTATCAGGGGAATTCGACCGTACAACGGGACTTCTACCCCCCTACAATAATTGGTGAAAACAAGCGCAATAGGCAGCCAAGGTCTTAACCCCTAGCCCCCGCTGTTATCACTTTGAAGCCGTGAGGTAACCCAAATAATCTGAACGAAACGCAGCTTGATGTTAACCCCTCTACCTGACGTCGATACAGTATGGCCATTTGCAGGATGGTACGGGACGTGCGGTGCCAACTACAGTAGCTACTTCCTGCATCAGTCCCATGCAAATTAGACACACGTTGTCACCCCTCTCCCGAAAGGTATTCTTGGAGGGAAGGGGGGGTAAGGTCAAATAATTTCGCTGTCGAGTTTAGGTTGAAACAGCAGGGGCAATTCGTCAGGATACCAGCCACCGCGTACTGCCTTCCAAGACCGCATGCGCTGAGGGCCACCTGCCGCTTCTTCACGTAGTCGACGTAAGGCCACAACGCCACGACCCGGCCGAAGCCCCATTCGACAGCCACCCTGACTCTACTCATGGCCCTGATGAATGCCACCTTGGCAACAGACAACAAGCCCTTAAATGGTGCCATCAGCCATGGGGATACCTGGTATGCTGGGTCGCCGTAAATGTAGTACGGTACACCCGCCGCATCATTGAATGACTGCATCAGCGTCTCCAACAGCCCACTTAGCCCCAGCAACGTCACATCATGGCGCCTACCGAGCACAGGACCCCAAAGTTGACGGGTGATGCCATCCGGGGAATCTACCGCCTGATACTTCAATAAGTGTACACGCTTCCATCCGTTATCGTAAATCCTCTGATTTTGCCAAGGAGGAGCAATCTTACGAATAGTTCCATCTAGGAATCCCCAGCACCTAGTGAGAGGTGACCCGCGGCCGGCAATGGCCTCGCAGAACGAATCGATTCTAGGAAGGATGGCGTCTACTTGCAAGTCATTCACAAGATGACCCCAGCGTTCGAAGATTACCTCGATTGTTAGGTTGAAGATCTCGCATATGAGCGTCTCCGACATCCCCCAAAAGATCCTGTCGCGAATCAAAGTCCTCGGTGCCGCCAGCCTCCACAGTGTCACCGCGAACGCCAGCCTCGCTGGAACCCTCTGAACTCCATATCCCCAACTGCAAGGCATGGAGTACAGAAAAAGAGTCGAATGCGAGGGTAGCACTACGGGTTATATACCGACGATTTTGACACGAACCCATGAGGCCTAGGAGCAAACGATAGTGGAATATACCGCTGGCTGACCCTAGTGTGTAGAAGTAATCGTCATCAGCGTAAGGCCCATACGGATAAGAGTCAGACAGATGCTGTGGAGTATCTCGGCGTCCGAAACACAGCGGTTTTTGTCCTAGTTAATGTTGTCTTGGGGCGTTTTTTCACCGGCGTCCCGATCGCTGATAGGACAAAACCACCCTCGACGGAACGCCCTCGATCGACACGGGATGGGGTCATCCAATCGGCGACAAATCCCATTTGCATGGGTGGGATTGTAGTCGGTTGAGCCTTGAATCTCTTTCAATGTGCAGCGCGTATTGCTCGCCACATGTTTTCTGCTAGGTTGTCCAGCTCATGCCTCCATGATAGGTTCCATGCACAGTGCGGTTAGAAAACAATATGGCCAACCGAAGGTCAGCACTGTGCTACAGCAGTACACCAACAACAATGCTGCAATTGTACGTACAGCAGCACCAACTTTGATTGATTCGGCGGGTTTCGTAACACTTCTATCAAGCAGACTATAGATAAATTCCTTGGAGACTTACTTCGAGTCTGGCGTCTGACGGGACCGTACGAGCGTCTACACATCTTACTTTGTAGGGCATACCTACCTCGTCTCGATAGAAAGGGTGGATAAGTCACATTTAATTCAACCCAAGAGCGCGTACGACCTAGGCTGAAGTATGGACCCTCTGCTTGGAAGAAGTTGTCCCTCGATGCGAGGGTCATGTGTATGCACACAAGGCGCGGTGGTGGCGGATGCACCCAACTCATGAAATTGCCGCGCTAGACGCGGCGCTAGATAATTTATACCTATACTTCCACCTGATTTTATACCAAACAAGAACCCTAGTTGGACTATGTACCGCTGCGTCGTCCACACGTAAGCAGGGCAACACGCCACGGCATGTCGGGGTTAGCTTCGGGGCTTCTCCTGCCAAGGAGGATACGTGGTACTCACCGCGACACTTCGAACGTATTCGGTAGCTGGAGTGCGCCCAACAGGTCCAGGAAGTGAGGTTTCTCGAACCTCAACAGCTCCTTGAAGTCGAATCCTCCGATTCTCTCGAAGTAGTCGAACCGGATACCCTCGATCGTTGTCGCTGCCACGAGCTGCTTGTACATCTGCCAGCGCAGTAAGCTGTACGTCCCAAGAACGATGAATAGGTCTTCCCCTCCCACAAGCGCACACAGAGCTGCGATCGTGGTGACTTGTATGCTCTCCGCGTACCGCTCGGCTGCCAGCCTCCCTCGCGCTAGTCGCGCCATGACTGTAAGCGCCCTGCTACAGCGAGCTGCTGCCCAACTATAACACAACCACGGCGCTCACACGCTCACACGCACACGGGGGAATTTTGACGACGAAAGAGCGTTAGTTCGCCTGAAATCTTTTCATGCAGGATTCGAAGACGGTTTATTCACCTTCGAGCTAGGTCGGTTTCTGTCGATGCGAACTCGCGATGTGTTCAAACGTCATGGGCTACTGATCGACCAACTTCCACCAGGGCCAATCGGTTGGGATCTCTGCGACAACGATGGTCATGAGGGTAAAAGTGACGTATACAAAGGAAAGGGAAAGGGAAGAAAGGAGGACGAAGACGACGATGGAGGAGGAAAACATAGAGGAGTGGAAGAGAGCAAAGGGTTTGAGCAAGATGACCTTCCCCAAAAGAAAAAACGTAGGACTAGGGAATTGCTGCCCAGATATTCTTGTCAAAATGAGGATCAGAATGATGGTAGCGAAAACAAGGAGGATAATGGTCAAAGTACTCCGAAACGGACTCGAGTACAAGGTAATAGCCTTGGTAGACGCGTGCAGTTTTCTTTTGTTGCTGCTGTTTCTGTCTTTGATCCGAAGGATAGTTTAGCCTCCCCCATGCTGCCCCCTCACGGGATCCCAGTTCACGGCAGATAGAAGTGTCTTGTGTTTCCAACCGCACTGAGACTGACGTCTTTTCATTGGTCAGCCGATTAGCGCGGTCGATGCTCATAATAAAAACACGCACACACCGCCGTCAGCGCCGCCGGCGCCGGATATAGGGTTTCCAGCAATTTTTCGCGATATGCTTTAGTTTTCCTACGAAAACGGGGTCCGCACCGGGTCGAACCGACACGATGGGGCCCGACTCTGGACAGGATCCTTTCTACAGCAACTTAGCTTGCAGGGAATTCGCTACCGGATAAACTGGACCGGATAAACAACGTTAGCTGTACTGGGGCATAGGAAGTGGGTTGAAAAGACGGGAACCCATATCGGTAGGATAGACTAGGGAAGGCAGTTTTTGAGCCACCTTTGGCAAAGTATGAAGGAACGATTGGCCATCGATGATCGATCCTGTGGGAACAATGCTTCGTCCTCTCGAGGGCGCGTGGTCAATGGTCTAATCGCTAAGGCATGCAAAACATATGAAGAGTACGACCCCCCCCCGGGGACATCTAAGGCCTTCCCCCCCCCCCCCCGCCTAGGCGACTAAGATTGACGTAAATTGGGCGTTCCATTATTTCCACATGGAGGGCCCCTTGCTAGGATTGTACCCGGGTGCACACAAATATACTCAAACTTCGGCCGTTTTGTAGCTGCTGCTTCATTCAGGGACCTCGTCAAAAAATGTTGCATCGAAACTCGAAATCGAAATTGGATTTTGATTTTTGATTTCGGGTTGGCTCTACACAGCGCAGGCGGGAAATCGCAATCGAAAATCAAGCTGGAAGAGGCGAACAAGGCCCATACATGGCAGTTGCGATGATTCAAACCATGACCATGAGAGTCACATGGCATCCAAGACAGCGAGCGATAGCTGCGAACAAGGGGCATGATCAAGCGGGTTGGGGGGTCTTTGTCTTGCATCGATACGCTGCGAACTCAGCGAGCAATATGTGACTGCATGCTGCTTGCTGATACAAGAAAGCCAAAAATAGTTGTCGTTGAACTGGGTTTACAAAGAAAGAATTTCACGGCGATGACTCTCTCAACTTAGCGCAGATCTCGCTCAAAGAAAGTATACCGTGCTCTGCTGGATGCCAGCTTTCTGACAAGCTCTTGCTTGCATCACCAAGCAGTCTGCAGGTGGCTAGACGAGTATCGAAATAGACGCACGTACGATTCTGCGCGGGTGTGGCAGCCAGCTTGATTGTCCGGTTGGTATTTTCGATTTTCGATTTCGAGTCTGTTCGTGCCCGCTTTTGGGTTTTCCATATCGGAGAATATCCGACCCAGTAGAGAACTACAGAGGTATTGTAGAATGCAGGTTACCTATACATATGTTCTTGTATTTAGCACCAGCTGACATCACTGATATAAATCATCAGTGTTTAGATTCTAAAAGACTCGAACTAAGTCCAGTACCCAGCCGGGTTTCCTCCACTCACTGAAAAGACTCCACCACATCCCGTTCGACTGTGGGTATATCTCGAATGGGTAGTCGTTCTGTGCGAATATTTATTCTCCTTATATATTCGGAACACTTACCCCCAGATCGAAAATCCGGCGGCCGAATACTGGAGCTTTGTCCAATTAGTGACATTTTCGATTTCCGATTTTCGACGGAAAACCTGTCTGACAAGGACCGCCCTCAGCCATCGTTAGGAGTTTAGATTGCGCCGCACTTATTTGTGGCCAGGTACACGAAACCCAAATTTAGGAACGCCGGACAGTTTTCCATAAAATGACTGGAGTTTACACCTGAGGACACCCGCGCGCCGAAAGAGACCGGGCACCTCGCCACAGAGCAAAACCAACGGGAGAGGCTTGACAGCTGGTACCTATCGGTGATACCAAAGCATGTCACCCACTTGGGGGATCGCGATCCGACCTTCCCCAATAAAGATTGGTGTCACCAACTATGATGTTTGGAAAATGAAGCACGTGAGATTCTACTTAGAACGCAGAAGTTCAAATATCCCGCCGCCACGCGACGCCGCAACAGGCCGACACTCTTTTGTGTCAGGTGAAACCCGCGACAGGCAATTCTCTTAGTGCTACATCCGCAGACCTCCCACGGGAGTGATGGCGGGCGCTACAGAAAGCCCACAACCTTAGCTTCTTGTATCACCAACAGTTCTCAGTCCAAACCGACCTCCCCAATACGGCCGCGCCATCAAGTACACAAGGTTGGACCGGTTGAAGCTCTGGACAGGTCGGTCGTCGGACACACCTGCACCGACTAACGGTGGCAGGAAACCACCTCGAATACCACCGCGGTGTACGTACAAGCACGCGTAGTGCTTTTTCGATGGCGATGTTGGACTTTGTGGGCTGCAGAGACGCGTTGTGGAAGGTCTGCTCTGACCGGTGGTTGGGGGGAGGGGCTGTATGAGGATGTATACCGGCTTGAGGTACGCCTGATTCTCTCTTTTCGCATCATGCTTTCATCTGAAAATAAACCACTCCCTTTTGGACCAAAGAAGTCGCACGCAGCCAGCATTCAAACGTCTTCACCCCAAACGATAGCTGAGCACAGCTACTCGTCCCTGCTTTCACTATTCCAAAAGGTGGCATACAGCGTTTGCGAGATCGATACCCGGTGCACAGAAAAAAGGCGGCTCAAATTTCTCCCTTCTTCCCCTCGCTCCTCGACAAGCTTTTGCTTAGACATGGGTTGTAGTGAAGGGGGGGGTCTTTCTGGCGAGCAGGGCTAGACTCACCCTCAAGGGATGACCGAAACCTTCTTGCTGCTGCGCATATCCGCCGCGAGGCATGCGC